TCAACAACTGAAATTTAGAATAGTGTGATTAAGAAAAATATGTGAACTGTTTGCAATTTCAAATTAATATTGAAATGTACAGGTTTAGAATTTTCTACAGTGAAAAGTTTTCGGAACTTCAGTATTCAAAAAAGTATACAAAAGCTAGACGTTAAGAACGTATCCAATGAGCGAGCAAAGCGAGCATTGGATTGCGAAGCAATCCGAAATGAACTGCGAAAGCAGTTCCGGGGGTTGGTGAGCGTTAGCAAGCAGGGGGCGAAGCCTCCTAGTATTATATATTCTCCTTAATTTAAATATTTCCGAATATTTAAATTACTCTCCGAAATATTTCTCCTATTTGGAAATCTATGATAAAACCTAACTAACTTTTAATAAACCTAACTTTTTGTTCCTTGCTTCCTATTCATCGTCTTCCATTCACCCTTCCCTCCTATTGGCCGTTGCTCTAAACCCTCTTGTGACGTCATCTTTCTACATATATTTACTCTGTTCTCTTATTGTTTTCTGTTACACTGATGAAGGTTGCCCTTTGAGCATCCGAAACAGCTGTCTGCTTTTAATAATATTTTTGTGCTCTTTAACGTTGTCTACCTTAGTTTGTTATGTTGTACAGTAATTTAGTTCTGACAAAATAGGCAATTATTGCTTGAACTCTATTTTCAAAGTTATTTCAGCTACACTTATTAGAGTAAATAAAACTAACTAACTACTACTTAGTAAAAATGAAAAATCCTTGTAAATTAATAAAAAAAATCAATTTATGTGAATTGCATTTTTAGTCATGATTTAGAATGTGCATATTATGCAATTAAAAAAAAAATAAATAAATAAAAAACAGGAAAAGATGTGGAGAATAACGTACCCTTCAACTACTACAGAATTTCTGTTGTTTCAGAAAATAATTTATCTAGTGGTAGCAAAGGTACTGCATTAATATTTTAATCAATTAGAACTAAAAATTCACTAATACATATAAATAAATTAATACAGACATATTAAATGCCAAAGTGAGAATCGGTCATGCTTTAAAGTCTTGATAAAGGTTTCATAAAAATTCCATTTGTGTTAAAATATTTTGCTTTAGTTTGCTGCCATTGATATTTCCCATGAAACTCGAAGATAGGAGGATAAGTAATAACTATACCAAGTAAAACACTGAAGCCACTTGAAGTTTACTAATTACAAGTAGGTCTTTAGTCTTTTTCTGATATTCATCCCTGTTTTAAATAACAATGGAGAGTTGCAAAATCGTGCTTTGGATTTGGTTTTATGAGGTAAAGCTCTAAGATTAAACATTGTAAAAAGATATGTTTTACTATTGTTTGAAAACTACAGAGTGAAAATCATATGAACAAATCACCCTTTACATTGAAAAAGCTTTATGAGTTTCAGTAATGTAAAAATAATAATGAAGGTAAATTAAATTTCATAAAGATATCAGAAAAAGGGTTTAAAAAAATTAAATGGTCTTACAGTGACTAGGCTACTAGGTGTAATAATAATAACTCTTTTCAGAACTGGCCTGCCACCATAGGGTCCTTGCTTAAAAAGAGTCCTGAGGAAACACATTAAATATTATTACTATACAATGCAAAACTATGTAGGGAATATCAGTGACTAAGACAAATTAAACTGTTGTAAAAATAGTTTAAGTGAGTAATAGTTTTTAATCTGCAGTTTAAAATATAAGTGCACTAACTGCAGCCTTGAAATGATTAATATGTAGTCTCCTACATCACAGGTGAAACTTAATCCAAAATCATACATATCTACATTATAACTTTTCTCCAGCTAAATTCACTCTTTCTAGAGTTATAAGCTATAACATTAAAATTAAAAAATTTGAGATGCTTTAAGGTGTCATAAGATATAAACTTTAAGACATTTTGATTTTTCTTTTAGGAAACTTTTCTTCATACTAAAACATGTCTAAAACCAATATAGTTCAACAAACCACTATAGTAAAACAACAAAATCTAACCAGCTTCCAGAGATTAAAACACCACAAAATAAATGGATTACTCTTTCAATTAATTGTATCCTGATCACATATTTCACATAATCTAAGATATTTGGTTTTTAAATGCTTGCAATACCAAACGATAACATTCTATTGAGCTTGTCGCTTTACTGATTTTCTCTGCACTAGATTTGGCAGGAATTCTTTTTAGTAGTAAGAGATTTAAATAAGAAATTAAAAACAATATTCAGGTAATTATACTGATTTAACACAAAAGCAAAATCCTAAGAATTGTGAAAAATGTAAGAAATTTAGCTTAGAAGAATCTTAGAAGATTTCACACCATTTCTAAAAAATTCATGATAAAGCTAGGATTCAAAAAATTGACAAACCATGAATTTAACACACTAAATCAATTAAAATAAATAAAAAAGAACGAATTTAGTTTTTTAAAAACCAATCTAAATAAAATATTACTTGATCATTTTCATTATTAATGATCAATTTATTATATATTTTCAACTGGTACATTTACAGGAAACCAAGATATATCACATATTATAAATTTATAATAAATAAACTTGAATAATAGATTTAAACATAAACAATAAAATAGACATTGCCTTAATATAAAATTCTTTATAGACTCAGATTTTCAACTTTAAATTACCATATCAGAGCAATACACTGAAAGGTTTTTCCTAATTATAATAATCAATTTCATAATTAATAATCAATTTAATATATATTCTTTTACTGGAATATCAATAGGAAATAAAGACATATTACATATTATAAATTCATATTATATAAACTTGAATAGAAAATTTTAACTCTAGCAATAAAATAGACATTGCCTAAAAATAATATTATTCATAGACTGAGACTTTTAACTTACCATATCAGAGCAATACACTGAAGGGTTTTTCCTAAGCCCATTTCATCACTATAAAACCACATTAAACAAAATAAATTAATATGAAATATATATTTATACAGAGGTAACTATTCTGTTAAAAACCTAAATGGTATTTAATTACTATTAATTTCCAGAAAAGAGTCACATGTAAGAACAGCAAGATAAAAATCTTACTATACATAAAAATCTAATGATGATGTCACAGTTTTTCATTGCTGTCCGTGAATTTTATCGGCCGGAAAATCACGGGGTCTGATCAAGTTTTTCTTCATTTAATTCTATACTTTTTTGGTTGTCATCAACATAAAATTAAGGTATTGTTTTCCTAAAAATATTTTTGTATCCCTAATTTAAAGTTATTTTCCTGCACTGCTATTATTATGCTTTTAATTCAAGAATTAAAAACTAAGAGAATTGTTTGTTTTATTATTATAATTTAATTCTGCACTACATTTTAAGATAAAGTTATTTAGGAAGGTGGTCTAGTCTTATTAACTGTTTTAGAATTATTATTTTTGTGCAAATAACATTAATGAACTGTATAAATTACAGTTAAAGAGATCTGTTAAATGATTTAGAACTTAACAATCAGCTTCATATACAATGAGATGCAAGCAAACATAGTATTTAATATATCCACCCATTTGGTTAGCGAAAATATTAAATTACAGTAGTGAACTCATCAAATTTATTTGAAAATATAATGTTGTAACAATATAAATGTTATTATAAAAAATGATAACTTAGAAAAATTACTTTTGTTCACGGATAGATCTAAATATATATAATATTAATAGATAATAATATTTGGATGTGGGCACAAGAGTAAGCAAACAAAATTATTTGTAGTATGCACATAGATGTTAAGAGAATAATTTTAACTTTAGTAGAAAAACTATTTTCTGCCAAGAAACAAAAATTATTGCAAGACAATCATCAGGGTCAGTGATTGGCAGCAAACAGGAGGTTTAGTCCCCGAGAAACTTAATACAAATTTTAAGTTCGATTGTTAAGTGTGTGACTCTTAAATTTAACATTAAGAATTAATTCCTTTTTGGAGTAGGTCTTGAAACTTTACACAGGTACCGAGAAAGGGATTTTCAATACATATTATTTTAAGCAGAACTTAACTACATGCATATTTTATAACAGCACATATTAAACATTATTCAACTGTGAGCTTTTTCATATTTAACTTTTATTCAAAAGTAGCATTACACAATGACAAAAAGTCTTTGTTTCATAACTTATTACCAAATTAATTTATTTGGATTCAGCAAGTATTTAAATAGTAAAAATCCTTAATAGTATTAGAAGTATACAAATTATATAAATGTACAAAATATTGAAAAATTATGAATTGGGAAAATAATGGGTAAAATGAGGCAAATACAAAAAACATATGTTTAGATGTGCAACCATTTATTTTTCAATCACAGATTAGAGAAACCACTATTATGCTATTGAATCATTTTTCAATATTATATACTAAAATAGTAATAGTAAGATTTATATTAAAAAATAAACAAATAAAAACCAACAAAAAAGCATTTAGAAAATATTTAGGTAATGAAGTATGTAAGTATTTTGAATTTCAATAGAAGTATTAGATTTTAATAAGAATTTTTTTTAATTATGACGTTGGAATAACTTATAAAAAAAAATCTTTTTATACCTGTATCATCAATAATATCTTAGCTTAGATTTTAAAAAAAAAAAAAATTAAGCAAGAGCAAATATAATAATGTAATACAAAATCATTTTTACTACACATATTTAAAATATGTACTGAAAAAAATTTAGAAATTTAGTCAGGATTGGTAGGATTTACAACTATGATTTTTTCATTAAAAAAAAAGCATTAATTTAAACTAACTAGGCTTTTCTTAACAAATATTATAAGTTTAAATTTTAAATATTTTTATACAATTGATAAATTCTTTCAATAGGATCTGATTTTTTTTAAAAGTCTGATTTTAATGACAATGAAAGATTTTTACAAACAAGGGAAGTATGCATCTCAAAAATTCTAATTGAAACAAAGTTAAGTTTAAATTAAAGTTTCAAAAATCCTGGATAATGTGAAAACTAGCTGTCGTATCTGCCCCTACTGTAAAATATCCCTCATTAAAATTTCAGTTGATTTACTCTTAAACCAATAAAAATTTTCAGCTGATGTTCATATGTAATATAACAGTTAAGCTGTCTGCCTTCCACCAGAAAGGTCCAGTGTTCAAATCCCAGCTGGGATTATTAAATAGTATCTCTAATTTTCTTTTTTGAAAAGGTTGATAGCTATTTTATATGTTTTATTCAATTAATAAATTATTATTTATTTAAATGAATTTTTTAATTCAATTACATGGATTATTTTTGAACTAAATTTTGAAAAATAAAATTAAAAAAAATAAATAAATAAATTTAATTTAAATTTTGTAGTAAGGACAACAAATTTTAAAATACTTAGTTTTTTCTTATAAACTATAGCAATTTTCAAAGATATTTAACAAAGCCTTTGTACTAGTAAAATTACAAATAATGACTTACGCCAAGATAACTCCTCGTCCCAAATCATGCTGAAAGCCTAAAATACATTTGTACATGAAAGTAATTCCCTCTTTTTGATGGTGTCTCAGACATTTGACAAGAAAAGAATCAACTTTAACTTTAGTCAAAGGCAAGTTATGTTTGTTATACAAGACCTAAAATTTAAGATAAAATTAAATTGCTTGTTTCAGATTGTTTAATAGAGTAACATAATATAAATATAAAAATTCCTATTCTTTTTTAAAAATTGAGTAATATTTTTTTTTCAATGATTAGCATGTGTTCTAAATTTGTGGAAAATATATTACCAAGTATTTACTAAAAAGAATGAAACACAGATGCTATACAAATGTAAGCTGGTTACTTATATTACCGAATTGGAAGAAATAGGAACTTATTTGAAACAAATGGGAGAAACTTTCTCAAAAGGAGATGCCAAATATTAAAACAAATTTTCATAATAATTGCAAATGAGTAAAAATAATAATATTAACTATCATTTTTTTAATTTTAAAATCGCAAAAGAGAAAAATAAATTTAATGAAGAAATTGAAAATTCCTTAAAAGTTTACAACATTTTACGTACATAAGCGTATTAAAACCCAAATTTCTAATTACATTAAGAATTGTTAATATTATAACTGTTATTATTACTACTAAAAAACACATTCTAAATTTTTACAAATTATGCATTAATTTTTTAATCCAATAAAGTTAGATATGAATATGATATGATACATAGTCTTAAATAATAGGACACAAAAACCATATTAAAATAGTTTTTTTCAAACTTAACTTATAACTTTCTAATACTATATTAAACTTAATTCATTTAAATTTAAGCTATTCTTATAGACTTTTAAACATTTTTATTGGTCTTTTTTAGTTTCCTTCATCCATTTCATCTTTCATTTTTCTGAATGCCAACCCTTGCATCGATACAAAATCAGTATTACTACCATTTACTAAAAAAAGCAACCAAATACAAATAGTATTATATATGGTGGTTGATTCCAAAAAACTTAAAAGTTTTTGGGAGATCTTTTAAAATTTTTCTCAAGAAATTGTAATTTTTTTTCCAGGTTGTTAGCAAGAACTTTCATTTCTCCTAATTTTTTAAGCTAGTTTCAAGTTCTCATAGCCTTATGAAGTTTGTAGATAAAGCATACCATGAATACTTCAAAGTCTGAAAATCTTGCGTGAAGTAATGTATCAAGAAAGAAGGAAACCTTAGAATGTGTTGCACGAATGGGATCAATAAATGTTTTTTAATCATCTCACTGACATTATTCTTTGGACATAACTTAAAATTCTATAAGTTTATAACCAATCAGCTTACTTGGTGCTCTTCTGTTGGGGGTGGCATAGTCAAATCATATATACTTTCACTGATAGGCATATTTTCAGCTTTTTCAATAATAGTAGGTGACATAAAGAAAACAGAACTTGAATGAGACTGCACTTCATATAGGGGGAAAAAAAATTGGGAATGTTATTTTTATTTACATTATATAACAAAGTAAAAGTTAAAAAATATAATGTGTGACCAAAAAAAAAACAGAAATTTTTGTAGATTGCTATTTTTAAACATATTTATAAATTAGAATAATTTAATAAGCATTTTTATTAAATAATTTGTATTAATTTACATAATTAGAATGGTATCAAAATGGTAGTTTGTCTCATGCTTGCATAATTTTTTGTATTGTTCAGGCTTACCTTATCTGCTCTTAATATAATTCTAATTGGTTAAGTGACGTATCACTAAAATCGTAATTACTGAAATCGAATAAAATATACAAGATTTGTTTAAAGAAATTCCTTTTTAACTTTTTTTTCTTCCTCGAGATTGAGGGGAACATATATTTTTCTTCTCGGTAGTAAAAATTATTCCGCAAAACACAATTTTTTCTCTCGCCAAATTAATGATTTGACCGCAGTTTTTGAGGTGGTGAATGCTTAACGAGGCCCTAAAAATAGCCAAATGCAAACAAATTATCGGAGAACTTTCCCACAGTAACAACTTTCCAATTGCTTTTTTTTAACATTTGAAACTTCATGCTCTAGGTTTATATTTACCATCTTTATACTTTAAATTACTTATTGTGGAGAAAGAAAATTTATCATGAAGGATTTCTCCCATAATATAGTGTTCTCTTAAAAACTATCCCTTCAACTAAAATGTATAATAAAATATAGTAAAAGGAACTATGTATTTTGGCCATCTCATTACTACCATATTAAATATTGGTAAAAAACTTAGCTTTTGAAAATAAAATACAAATAATTTTAGCATAACATTTATATATTTTATCATTCAATTATATTTCATATTTCTGCTTTTTTTCTTTTTTTTTGTGGGGGGGGGAGATTTTATTTTCTAAGAAATCAATTAATACTTAGCATCATAGAGAGAAGCACAATAAACCATTTAAAAACTAAACAACCAAAGAAAGGAAAAATCAATAGCAAGAGAAAAAACTTCTATCCAGGCAGATAAACTGTGGCGAGAAGAAAAAAATGCTTCTAATTTTAATTTCATTCCTCAAACTCTTTTAAAAGACCAAAACTATTCTTATAAATAAATTTTTCAGATAATTATTCCGACCAAAAAATACTAAAAGTTGTTATAATAGTGGACATCGTTGAAAGAAAAAAATGCCCAGAAATATTTGCAACTAAAGAATTAAAAAGAGTAAAGTATCTAGTATCATTTTTAACAGTGAGATAATATTACATTAGATGATTTAATTTAATTTGAGACATCAAATTAAAATTATTAAAACGAAAAACATACAGGAATGAAATAAATCACTAAAACAATAATAAAAAACAAATTAACTATAAATTGTTATACTTTTAAAATATTTCCTCTGCTTAAAAATTCTTATTTTAAAGTAACTCTTATATTTTTATCAAAAGTCTTTTGAGCAGTTTGTGTATTTTAATAGATGAACATTGTTAAAAAAATTTTTTTTTCAGTTTCAAATTGATGCATGGATAATTTTCTGCCTCTTCACACTTTCAAACGAATAGTTTGGTTAAATTGTACAGTGGTTTAACAGGGTGCTGAACGTTATTATTAACTCTGCAAATGAATTACAGTTGTCAATATTATTTTATTGATAAATTCATTAAATTTAATTTTAAGCATTCCTTGTAATATTTTTGTGTTGTAAAAAATCTGAAATATTTCTAATTCTAAATAACTACACAACAATTTCAATTGAAAGTAAATAAGAATACTTTATTGCAAAAATCCAATTAAGAACTTACATAAATTAGCTGCCAATTGACAGCCAAAGTTGAATTGAATAAACAGTTAATTTGAGTTGATCAAGAACAGATAGTTAATAGTAAACAATTTCTCTGGTAATGTTAAGATTTCTTATGAAATCACAAAGAATTTCTTAATACTATTAAGAAATTGTAGAACCAATTTCAATTACATGCAAGTAAAATTTACCTACGTGATTTCAATCTCTTAGTCTTTTTAAGAGATGGCGAGTGAGATGCATGAGATAATGATAATGTAGATTGTGTCTCAGTCTGCTTTTCTTCCAAACATACTTCAGAAGAAATAAGATTTTGTATCTATGACAGAAAAAAAAACTTATATTTCTTTTGAACATAAAATATAATTTCAGTAAAAATTCATTTTCATAAATTATAATTTAATAAATTATATTACAAAATGCTTTCTGATTCTGACATTAGGCATATTTTAATAGCTTTAATAATTTTAAACCTTTTTAGCCTTAGCAAATTTTTCTGATTTTGGAGATTGTGATGATGGTTTATTCATCACACTCTAATAAATCTTTCCCAGACTTTCCATATATGAAATAGAAAAATTTGCAAAACAAACGAGATTTAAAGATGTAACGAACATCAGAATTGAAAAGCATTTTGAAAGAGAGCTTTTAAAGTTTCTGAAACTTTTTAAGTAGTACAGATGTCCATTACACAGTTCTAGCACACCTCATAAATCTGACAAAATGAGGAGAAAATTGTCAAATATTTATTTTGGATTCAGCTTTCAAAATAATGTCATAGAGTTATCTGTTATTATTAGTTTATTGGGGCTATCAATCCTACAAAATTAACCAGATGTACCAAGTTTTAAAATGCCCCTAAACATAGAAATGTATAGTTTTGAATTTGCTACCATAGGAATTTTTTTTTTTACTAATTCCAGATAAAAGTAATAATCCGCCTCTTCAAAGAAAATTTGTCTTTACAGAATTACCAAGAAAAAAAAAAGATTTGTTTTTCACGCTTTTCCCTACCAATGCTTACACAATTTAAAATTACATTCACGTGATTTAAAATCGCACATCGCAATTCCCATTTACACAATTTGGGATCATGTTTCGTATTTTCACAATTTTATATCAAATTTCGTGTTTGGTATTCATGCTTCTTCGTATTCAAAAATTATACATCAGAATTGGTATTCACCTGATTTTAAAATGAAACATCGAGTTTTGTCTTTTCACAATTTTAAAAACAAACACTGAGATTCGTATTCATGTGATGTAAGAATAAACATCAAAATTCATGTTATCACGATTTTAAAAAGAAATGTACAGATTTGTATTCACGTGATTTGAAAATCACACTTTAAGATTCATATTCACACAATCTAAATAAATAAATAAAATCTTGCATTAATATTTGTATTAAAACTTTGATAGATAAAATTCTGTGAATAAATGTTTTAATAAATGTTTCTCATTTCTTGCTTAAATTTCAGTTATTTTTTCAATTAATTAAAAAGTGTTATTGCTTATAAAATTTTTGGATTCCTAATATCAGTTTTTTTGTTTTTTTACCAAACTCATCCCTGTGGTATAAATTAGTAAAGAGTTCGATAAAAATTGAACATTATAAAAAAAATCAATGATTTTCAAACAGTTTGCCGAAATGTGGAGGGGGTGTAAGGATTGAAACTAGTAGTTACAAGAGTTAATCAATATGTGCAGAAAGTTTTTAATTGAGATTTTGTGTTTGCAGAAATTTTTTCTTTTTATCTAACCCTGCCTATGTGTGAGACACTTGCTGCGCATAACCTTGAGGTCAAGTGACTGCTACTGACTTAAGAAAAAGAAGTGTACAATGGCAAATTAGGAAGAAAAAAAAAACAATTTGGTAAAAAGGGGTGGGGTAGAATTTTTGTTCCAATGCTGATTCACGAATAATTTGTTGTTGTGAGGAAAGGGAAATGATAAAAAAAAATTGTTCCTTCATTCTCTTTAACTCCTTTTCATTTGAAACATATTTCAAACATTAATAAGTTTAGTTTTTCTTACTCCTTTTCTACAGAAAGAAGTTTCAGATTCAGAGGATTTTTTTAAAATTGAATATTAGTGTAAATGGTACACTCTAAAACAAATCAGGAACATCAGGACAAAATACAAAAAACAGGACGAATAAGGGTAGAACTTTTTAACAGGAATATCAGGACAACTATGAACCCTGTATAACATATAATTTCAAGCTTAAATAATAAAAGTTTAAAATAAAAAAGAACTCCAAATTGCTGGTTAGAAATAGATTAATTTTAAAATAGAAAAGAACAAACCTCACATTCTTTACCACCAACATAAAACTTGCTTCCTTCCTCAAGTGCTGAAATATCTTTGAGCTTATAACCCATCCCTCTGTCAATTCTAAAAATAATAATAATAAAATTTAGGTAGAACAATAAACAGATGACATGCATAACATAAAACTATGAATGCTTGCAGGCAAGAAATTTATAATGATATAAAAATAAGAAACTACAATTTTCCCTCCATATTCAAATTAACTTGAAATGAGTATATGGTAGGACCTCAATTATCAAAACCTCTTTCAACCATGTATCTCAGTGAAGTAAATTCCAAAATTCTCAACTTTTTACACACTTTTGATTGAAGCAAAGAATGCTAATAAATATGCCAAGCTACCTTTTAGTTCTATTTTTGCCAATGCATATTTTTAGAAATTTTCAAATCCGCAATTTTTTTAAAATGTGAAATTTTTGCACACTCAAAAATTGAGTGTGTGATTCTTGGCAGAAATAATCCTTTATACGAGAGGTAAAAAAAAACGTGATTGTTTCAAGCTGTAGGGGATATGCCAGATTCAGTTTCAGTGATATCCAATTTCGCTTTCATATAATAGCGAAAATCAGATAAAAATCTAATGAAAATTGGAAGTTGAGTAAAAATCATTCAGAAGCAGAAATTTGCATAAAAGCAGAGGTTTCTCCTCACTGCATATTTTTTAACAGGTTGCAAAGTAAATATAAATAAATACATATATATTTTTTGAAACAGGAAAAGAGTTCTGTTTATTTTAATTGCTAAAAAGAATACAGAAGAGACCCCTCTGGTAAATTGATGCCTGGTTTTGTGACTTTGTACTTTTATAAACAATGCTTAAAGATTAGGTTTGCTGCCATTATAGAGTAAACTTTAAAAAAAATTCATTGAGTCCAAATGAAAAGGGAACCTAAAATACAACACAATAGTATACTAGTCACCCATTAGCATTGTGATTTCAGTTGAGAAAAGTGTTTTAATAAGTTAAAATACAGCCGAAAATTATTTTTAAAAAAATAATAATTTTTGAACAAATTCTTAGTTTCTCGCTTTGAAAATACAGGGATTTTTTAATTGTTAATTAGATTAAAATAATTTTAAATGAACTGTAAAAAGAGATTTATCCATGTTTTGAAAAAACGAATCTCAATCATACAACATTTGCTTTATTGCTGCATCTTTTAGAATTAGTATCAAAAATTTTACTGACAAAAATACATTTAAAAAATTAAATTTCATAACTCGCAAATTAAATTTTTTTTTTCCGTTATAAAACTGCACAAGAGACTGCAAAATTTTGCTACTATTCAAGTAAAGTACATAAGATACCTCAATCACAGCAGTAGTTACCTACATTTTCTAAAATTCAACAGGCTAACAATCAAGTGTGATATAAATAGAACATTATAATTCAATTTTTTGGTTGACAGAACTGGAATCAGTCTGTGGTTTGAAAAGTGGCAGACTTATGTGTATATATATACTTTAAACTTTGGTTTTAAAAAAATGAATATTATTTTGTAATACCTTTTCATCCTCCAAATGATTTTAAAAATGCATAACAAATATCGCTTTTCTTACCAGTAGATTATTTGGAGCTATCAATATAAATATATATTTATATTGATGTATATATTTACACAATATATCATTTTGATAGTATTTATTTTGAATTATCCTTAAATGATTCTTAAGATATAAACAGTTAAAACTTGATGTATAAAAACTAAATAATTCATGTATCTTTAAGTCTAAAAGATAAAAAGATGAATAAAATACTAACTCTTTTCCCTCAGAATTCTTCAGAATAGCAGAGCGATTTCTAACTATTAAAATACCTAAAAAAAATTTTTTTTAATAAATTAGTAACATTTATTATAATTTTTAATAATATTTAACTTTGTAAAGAATTACAGTCTAGTAAAAAAAGTATATTTAAAGACTTTTGACTGACCAATTTAAAATATATATGCATAAATATATTTGAAACACGGCTCGCAAAAGTGGGTCCAGCCCACTTTCGTATAATTATACTAATAGAAAAAATTTTTTTTAAAAAAACCACCTATCCAAAGCAACCAGACTGGGTTTTTCCGAATGGTGCACTTGAAAAAGCCCACTTTTTTCCAAGGTGGATTTTTTTCAAAATTTATTGTGCTTGATCAATAGGTTTTATTTCAAAAGAAAAATATCGTAAATTATTGTAACTTTAACGAAGACTTCCAAAGAATTGAAGACAAATTAATTTACTTGTTTTACTACCATCAACTTGTTTTGAGAGTATACTAATGTGATTATGTAATGTTAAGAGCATACTTTAACTTGGATGAAAAAGTGATCATTTTGGAATAATTAAACAATAAATGAGTTATATTTACTTTGATAATAAGCTTTTCTATTTCTAGTCAAAATATGCAATGGAAATAATGAACACAAAAATGTTATTAGAAATTAAAAATATTATTAAACAGTATCTCAAAAAACATTTAACTAATTTTATAGTACCCGAAAGTTGAAAAAGAACTTTTAAAAAAATTAAATATTAAGTTGCAATGGTAAACGGACAAAATGATTACAATTAAATTTTATTTCAATTGATTATGAAACTAAATCTATGGTAATGCAATTGAAAATTCAGGGATTTTTTAATTGAGTAGTTTTAAATTTTATGTAACAACCTGTTTGTCATTAAGAAATAAAGATAATAGCATAGCAATCTAAAACTTCCAAAAAATTGTTACATTACAACAAAGCAGGTTTTTAATAGTTAGCAATTATTTATGTTAGAATCAAATCTTGCAATCTCATTAAGGACTATAGGAATAAAAATTTTAAATACTTCAGGAGAAACCAAAAAGAAACCAGATTGTTTTTGTGAAGAACCTGATAAAACCGGGGATTTCGATGAAAAACCCAAGTAAGACTCCAAAAAATTTTAAACCCTGAATTGAATTTATATAAAAAGTGATAATAAGGGGAAATAAAACCTACCATCACCTTCCCAAATCTTGTGCTGTAAAAAAAAAAAAAATAATAAATTAGAATAAACTAAAGAATTTTTCATGCATGACAACAAAAAAAAGATTAAAACTCTCTTAAGTTTTGGTATATCTAACTGTTCAAATATATAAAGACTAAAGAGGGTATTATTATTTATTTTTGAAATGACAAAACTTATAAAAAGCAACATAACAGCAAAACAGCTCTATAGAATGAAGATGCTAATGATTGAAATTAAATATTGACTAGAATATGAGCATTGATTTAATGCTAATAGTTAATTTAAAGGCTAGCAGTAAAATTAAATAAAATTTTAATCAAATAATACATTTAAATTGGCATAAAGTCACTATTGTAATCAATTTAATTAACTCTCAAATTGTCAGTGAGCTCAAATAACCTTATTACATAGTGAAAAATCTTCAATTTATCACCATGACAATCAAACATAACATCAATTTAATTTTAGACTCATTCGACATACAAAATGCATTTGATGTACTACTTAGTGTAAGATAAAAATTAGCTTTACTGAAAATTCATTTCTTCAAAACATCTATACATAAAACTAAAAAGTAAAGTAAAGCATGTGTTGCTTACAAACTTTAGGTAGAGATATGCATTGATTTTAAAATAAAATTTTATCAAACTCTTCCAGTTGCCAAACAGAAATAAATTTAATAAAAATTCCATTTGAACAACAGAGTATTGATCCTCTTCCATGATTTAGGTTTGAATTATCATAAATAGTCATTTGGAATACCAAATAGTGGCCGAATATTAGTTACATCCCTAGTATCATTATTAATTTTAAACCTTAAATCAAGTAAGATGTTTTGAAGATAAGATAATACAAAAAAAAAAAAAAATATTCTCCAAAAGTCAAGAAATTCTTCTTTTGAAAAATTATCATAAAAATGTATCATCATCACTATTTCCTAAAAATTTTAATGCATTTTTTTACAAATATACAAATGATTTTAGCATCAATTACATTATATTATTTTCACTTTAAACAGAAGTTATCAAAAATTTTGAGGAAAGTAGCCAATCACGATATATTTATAATTTTACTAGAAAACAGGATTACACAATTTGAATGAAGCAAAAAAATTAGCAAGCACATACTTTTTTCCCAGAACGTTTGCACCATAACACATTATACTTGGATACAGAACTTTCAGACGTTGCAGAAGAACAATTTGTTTGTGAGAAATCGTTATCGGGAAAAATAACAGGAACTAAATTTCTTGAATTATTTATTTCTCTATTTTCCACATTTGTAGTGGGAAAAGAGTTTGTCTTAACGACCTTTTCACTTTCTTCACAGTCCTTAGTTGCTCCTAAAATCATTTGCATGATTTCACTGGTACTCCTCAAATTTGAGCTTTCAGCATTTTTTTCACAAACCAATGGGATATCCTTTAAAAAAATATAGAAAATAAATAAATTAGTACTTTTGGGTTAGCTGAGAACTAGTGAAAAGTCGCCACGCCGCCAAATTTCTTTTATTTGAGTTATTTTTTTATGCACTGAACAAAATGGACATCTACAAAAATTAAATAAAATAAAAAAATAGTTAGATTTCCTTGCACTAGGCTAAAGGAAAAGTACCATAAAATCTTCATATATAAAGAATTATGCTACTATTATTTATATATCACATCAGAATTATAAATAGCTATATATCTGATTGATAAGAATTTTTTTTAAAGAAAAAAAATCAAAGAAAAACTTAATTATTATTTGGAAATCTGTCCCAAAATCACTTTTTAGCTGAATTTTTAGTTTTGTACTAAGTAAGATAGATAAATTTTTAGTTTTGTACTAAGTAAGCCAAAAAACTTTAATATCTGTTTTGGCCATTGAAAATATTTAAAACCATATGGATAAAATTCAAAAGGTTAATAAATATGCTCTATGCAAAAATTGAAAAATAAAAATCAGTAGGTAACTATTTATACATTATTATAAATAAATACTCATGATACCAAGCAATAGAATGATATAACTGACAAAAACATAAAACATTACATAAATTTCTAAATAATAACCAAATTATTGTTTATATTCAGTAAGATGGAAATGAAAATATTTAAAATCAAAGCAATTTTAACTTCATCAACAGCTTATTAAAATGATAGGTATTTTTCTGTTTCACCAGTCCAAGTAAATTCAGCTATTTTATTTATCTCTTTATTTATTTATATTTTTAAAAAAATAATTGAGACCTAAAATAATTATGATAAAAAAATAGTTTAATTTACTAGCATTCAATGACTTTACATTAGCAATTTTATTGTCTGTGACAGCGAAATGTACAAGTATCAATGATATAATTTTTTTTAAAAATTAATCATTTTAAGTCAACACTATTACATACAAACAGAATTTTTTTTTCATTATTACGGTGGTTCTAGTTACACAAAAACCACTATTGATACAGATTCAAGAATATAAGATCTTTCTAATTTGATATTTTTTTAAATATACCTATTAAATTAAAATCATTAAGTACCATAAAAACTAATTATTCCTTAAATTAAAACCAAAAGGCTCAATAGAAACATGTATCGAGTAACATTTAGGCTATTAATTAAATGCATACAAAAAAAAATTAATTTGCATAGTCTATGTTTGTATTTATCTATATGAAATTAGATTTTTTCCTTACTATACATTAACCAAACCACATTAGTTTATCAGGTTAGAAAGTAGAAAAGGGTGCCCCTTAGATTGAGTCCTGTAACTTGGAACTTTTACTATATGTAAAATCTTCCATTCTCCTAAAATTTCTATCATGATTTTTTATTGTTAAAAAATTTCACTTTTAAGTCATTTTCCTTCTTTTCTACAAGAACATAAAAAATTGTCAAAAAGAGAGGGGGCACCCTATTGTTAACTTTTACCCTTGATCAGGACTGCTTTTTCAATGGAGCTAGTAGAAATAATTTTTTATTTGTGATATTTTTTATAATTTCTTTGTGTAATAGTTTCACTCTTATCTGCAATGAGGGTTTTGATTATTAGAATTAGCAAATGTAAAAAAAAAATTAAAACACTATTAATGTAATTCATCCTACAGTGTTAACTATGAAATGCAGCAAATGTCCCAGAAGTATATTTTTTAAAATTAAAAATGAAATGAAATTAAGGGTTTATTAAAACTTTTCATTTAAATATTTTTGTTAATATATTTAAGAAGCATACATATTCATGTTTAGGTTCATCTGATGATAATTTTTTAAAATCTTCAGCGATTTCGGGATCTATGTCATCCAATAAATCATTTTCTTTGATTTCAGATGATGAATCAACAAAAGGAGACATAAAACGAAAACGTTTAGCAGACGACTGCAAACTAGGAGCAGCAGATCTTCTCATGTTAGGAATATGAACGAAGCAGGAAACTTATCATGACATTTGAAATAGATTTAGATCAGAGAATTTATTCAAATATAAAATTTATTGAGTTTAGTTTCAACATTTTTATTTCTAATCGAACAAGAACATTTCAAATTTGCGCCAGCTTATTTATAATTTTCTATTCACTTCTCACTTTTCAAAATAACTATTGCCAATAGATTAAAAAATATAAATTTATAATCATAATACAAAATTTTGAAAAATGTTTTGTAGAGCTAAAACATTCCACAAACACTTCGAAATAAAATTTGACGAATTTAAGGATGTTTTACTAGTTTTTTTTTATCAATTTCTGTAAAAATATTATTGAAAAATTATAATGTCATTATCGATGAAAATTTTAATCGATACAATAAAGCGCATCGATGAATCAAAATTCTCTGTTTATTTTTATAAGCAAGTTTTCTGTCAAAAATTCGGATAATACGTGTCATAATAAAATAACTGAGCAAGTCTGAAAATTTTTTATGTGATTTCTGTTTTACCGAGATTTTATTCTATGTTATTCAGCTGATCGTTAACAGTTGCTAAATTAAAAGGAGCTCAATAAAAGCCGGTTATGGTACGAGAAAATAAACAATTTTTTTAATATCTATTTAATTTCTCAATTAATTTGCATTGCTATTTAATGTTACTTTATTCATAATGCTTCAAGAATCTTTTCTTTTCTTTATTTAGTATTATTTTTGGATGTAATAAAGATAAATGTTTAAACAGTCTTTAAGTTTTTTTTTATAGCCGCTTGTATTCATTCATTTTTTACATATTATGATTTCTTTATTTGCTTTCACCGGCATTTCCCTTCTTTTTTCCAATACTTTTTTTTATTTTTAGTATTAGTAATTTAATTGCAGCCTTTTTTTTTTGAGACAGCTATAAAGCAAATTTCATTGAGACAGCAATTACGCATATTTGTCACATTACATTTGAGATAATTTTCTATAACAATGTAATATATATTTTTTCTATAAATATGTTTTTATATAAGCTTTTCATTGGATGTTTAACAGAATACGAATTAATTGTATCAATTTAAAACTAAAACGGTCTACTGTTTTAATTTTAACTAACTCAACTAATTAATTATAATACTTTTATAATTCTCAACAATCTGTCAGCATTGTTTTATATACATTATATTTTTGTGATAAGCTTTCATTTTCAGAAATTCATGGAAAAATGATTTGAAAATTTCAAGCAGATGTTTCATTTTAAAAGCTTTCTTCTCTGATCGAATTTTTTGAAAAGAAGTAAGTTAATTATTTGATATATAAATTTTTCTTTTGATTTCAAAATGCAATGGTGGCTCAGAGTTCTTGTTAGTATTTTTTAAATGCTAAAAGTAATACTAAATAAAATGATGGAAAAATTTTACTTTTTTTTTCCTGATACATCTATAATGCTTAAAACGGATGTAATTAAATGTTTATTTTTTGGGGGGGTTATAAAAGACAAACCTTCTGGCAGTGTGTATCCTTCAATTTTCCCAAGCCTAGTAAATTGAGGACTTGCTGTTTCTTATTTGTTACTTTCTGTTAACAGTATTGTAAATTTAAAGAAGGGGTCAAAGACGAGATCTTCGCTATTCTTCAAGTTGTTTCTGGAAGCTAAAACACGGAAAATTGAGATAAATAGGATGTTCCATTACTGTATCAATAGAATTCCTGTAAGCACAGATATGAGGTGGAGGTCAGCGCAAATATTTAGTACACAAACTGGTTATAGGACACTTTTAATTCTCGTTGGTGCCGACAATACCCTGAACCCCTAGTTTACTAATTCTTTTTCCTTTAAAATAATTTCCAAAATGCTAATAAAATTTAACAAAAAAAAAACCTGTTTGTTTCTCACTTTGATGAAGTTAAAAATGTAAGAATAAAATAATAATAGCTGAGAAAGATTTTAACTGATTAAGCACTTATAAGAAATCACTGTGATATTAAAATAAGAGTCCCAAAGTAATAAATTGTAAATAAATTTGTTGTAAAAATTAATTGTAAATAAATTTGTTGCAGAAAAGTCAGGGCATTTGGAATTTGAACAAGAACTGTGACATTTCTTTAAAAATATTAATTTTTAAATGTCAAAATGAAAATAAATTTTTATTCTGTTTGTGATTGATTAAAACTATTATTATCACTTTGTATAATAAATGATTACATAATTTAAGTTTTTTCTTTCTTTGTTATTTGAAGTGGAGATTTTAGAATGTAGGATTTTTGAAAAATTAAGTGTACTAAAATTGTTACAGTGTGAGTATAAATGTCTAATACACATAATGGTAAAACAATTTTGTTAATTAGGACTTTGTAAATTGACTTAGAATTACTATTAATTTTGGCAAAGACTAAATATAATTTATACTAAATTACATCTTTGGTTTAACACAATATGTAAATAATTAAATTTATTTTCATTAAAAATAAATTAATTTTTAATTACAAATATTAGTTTTTTAAATTTGTAATTAATTATATTATTTAGTAATTATTTTATAGTCATTGTTTTAATATCACAAATCATATGTTTATTTACTACTTATAGTAATATAATTAGGTTTAGCCAAAACCTTGTTAAAGCCCGCGACACTGGGCACCAACTACAATCACAAAAGTGCTCAGGGTTCAGCCTACTGTTATGGAAACTTGTGAAGATGGTCGGAAAATTCAAATTTGATTTATTTAAAAATGTTACAAAACTTATTTTTTTTATTGTTATATTTTGAATTTGTGTTGTTTCCTATGAAATAGAAATTTTGCATACAATTGGAAAATGTAATAATTATTGCTTAGAATCAATTGGATAATATCAATAGTGACTAAAAACTTCTCGATTTAATTCTTAAAATTAAGTTCTCTTCATTCTTTTTGTAAGATTAATTAATTTTTGTTTAAAAATCATGTGTAATTTATACAGATAAAATTAAATTACCATAAAATTAATTTTTCTTCTGAAAAATACCAACTATACCATGCCAACCATTACATGTCAATGCATGTTTTTTGTATGTCTCTTTCTTTCTATATATGGAGCTCTGTGTATATCTTGTAGGGTCGATTTTTTTTTTTTTTTTTTTTTTTTTTTTTTTTTTTTTTTTTNACCAGAGAAGGGTTTCTAAATCTGGAAGCAACAAAGAGATTTTAAACTTATAAAAAATTTTAAAAATAGTACATGTAGGGAATATTCCCCGGTAGCTATAAATTGTATCTTTATAATTGATCCCCTTCTGTTTTCTATTTTATTTTTCTTAGTTTCTTGCAAGCCACTGACCTGATGTCACTTTAACTTGACAATTATTTTGGCATAGACACCAATGCAGAAATCTTTCCATTATTTTTATCAACTTAAAATTTCGTGAAAAATATCAAAATTAATGTTTAAAATTACCTAATAATGGCACTTTGCATACTTAATCCTGTTATTTTACCAGCTGTAATTAAAAAGTTCAAGACACCCAATTTTGGAGTCACTTTTAAAGTATGCCCAACTGATGCACAAAGATTAAGAGCTTATATGATTAAAAATAAAATTTTGCATAAAATGAGTTTTTAGAAGCTTATTCACCATGGAAAATAAAATAATAAAAAAACTTTAGTTTAGGTACCTTAATCTCAATGCAAATATATAATTTTAAACTATGCATACCACCTTGCAGTAAAGTATTATCTGGATTTTAGGATGGACAAAGAGAGTATTAACCTATTTAAAAAAGAAATTATTACACTTCATTAAAAATTCCCTCTTGGGGAAGTTTTTCCACCTTGATAAAATTTATAAAAATAGAGTAATAATTCATAATTTTCGTAAATTTTTAGGGCTCAGGTGATGCATTTTTTGAGTAACTTTCAAGTTTTAAAAGATTAGATCGCTAACACTTTTTATTTTCACAAAACTGTGGTTTTCCTGAATATTTTTATCAAGTTTTTATAATTTGCATAGCTGGCTAAAGAGAGACAAAACTTCATCTACCAGTCATAAATAACCGTTGCCATAAAGTGATAAAAGTACCATATTATTTGCCAAAAAGCTTTATTTCATGTGACCACAGCTTATAAGCACAGTCATAACTACTATCTTTTGATTTACTATACTGCTTTGAATTCTATATGCTTGTAGCTTAGTGGGGTGTACATAATATTTAATGAAAGTCAACTCTGCCAAAACAAATTCAGTATTATAACCAGTGTATAATTTTTTGATGTGGTTATTTAATGATTTTGGTATTTTGAAACTTATGTGCTTTTTTATTTTGTTGACTTATTATGAAAAGAAAAACAACATTCAAGAAGATTTAATCCTTCCTTTTCACATCTTCATTTCATTAAATAATTACCTGATGCAAAAAACAGCGAAATTTTAATTTCAAAATTTTATGAATAAGTATTTTAGATTTGTAGCATTGCTTTTGTTTGTCTTAACAGGATAAAATGATAATTATTGGGCATTGATAATTATCTTTTATAATTGTAGAATTATCATAATGTCTAATTAATAATATAAAAACATAGAATTCTTTTCTTTTTAAATAATCTTAAATTGTGCTTGTTCTACAAAAACTTCATACAGAAATTTCTTTTAATTTTTTTATCTCTTTAGATGCCAAAATTCATTTTTTTCTTCTTTTTTATAAAAATTTACCATCCCAGATATTAAAAAACTTTTTTTTCTGGGAAAAATAATTTAAATTTATAAGTTTAAAGCAACTAATCTCACATGAATAATAAATTATGGCACAGAATAGAACTCCTTATCTTCTGGGCCCCATAGCAGATAATGGGTCCTTAAGCTATTAGTCTGAAGGTATGATCAAACTTCTCATCTAAACATGATTAAAATCGATTTTTTTTTTTAGAACAAAAAAAAATCATAGATTTAAATCAACTGATTAACTAAATAACTGATCAATTTAAATCAATTTTTAAAAAATAAATATCAGTAAATTTAAATTGATAAGTTGATTTAAAAAAAAATAATCAGATTTATGTAGAAAATATTTTTCTGAAAACTGATTTCATTTTGAATTAACTGATTCAAGCAAAAAAATTTGCAGTTAATATACATATATATTTCAGTTATAACCATTTAGTTTGATATGTATTTAAACTAACTCCAAATGCCTTTAAAAATTATTGAATATGTGATTCTTCCACGGATTCGCGGATTTCCGCTTTTTTTTCAAATTTTTCCATTTTTTCCGCTAATTTCCACGGAAAACTGTTTTTTGCACAAATTAAAATATTTTATGAGGATTTTATTTTTCGGCGGAGCGAAAGTATTGAAGTCCTCATTCCTCCCTCTGAAGTTTCTCTAAAAATCATTTCCTTGGGATAAAACTGGTTGACCTTTACAACAGGGATGAGATTTTTCCGCTTTTTAGCGGATTTCCGCTTTTTTCGCTTTTGTCTCTCGAATTTCAGCTATCAAAACTCCGATTCTCTTAAAGTTTCGATTTTTTTTTTTAATAAATATCCCTTTTTTTTTATATATATATGCAGTCGTTGAAAATAAAATAATTATATTTATTTACTATTTTCAAAGATAAACAGAAAATTCAAACTACGTCCTAGCTGTTAACCCTTCCGCATTTGTACTTAATTTTGGCTGTTTTCTACGATTTTTCGCACAGAAGATAAGATTTTCCTATTTTTATCCTTACGCCGGATAACTCGTATTTTCGTAATTCTGACGTCACCGCTTCCTGTTTTCTGACGTGAAAGCAAACGGGAGAGAAAAAAAAAAATAGATGTGAATTTGCGGTGAAAATATTTTTTTGCTCATTCAATTAATCTTGTAAATTTTTATTTATTATGTCTAAACAAAAACAATACAAAGAAGCCTTTTAGAAGCCTCTTGGCTTTGTCAACAAATTAATAGGAGGTGAGCTCGAATAAAAATACCGATTTTTTTTATTATCCGTGATTAGTTTCTAATAATAATGTACTAATTTGAACCATTTTAATGAAAAATATCAAATTTTTAGAAATAATATTATATTTAGACAATATTTAACATTATTTATACATTTTATCAGAGATTTGATTAATAAATGTTAAAAAAAAAAAATCTGATTTGTTTATTACTTTAAAAAAATCATGCTTTTTGCCAACATCCATTTACTAAAAAGTTGTTTCATAAAATTTTGTAGCATGTTTAACAGCATTCTTAAAGGTAATTAATAGCAGTCGTTTTTATTTTAGTATTGGTATGATTTACCTTGCTGTAGCTTAAAATGGGTTTCATTGATTAAACT